TGAAAAGAAAAACGCATTTAGGTCTCACTAAGTGCAAACACCACTCTTGCAACATCCATAAGTGCACTAAAAATTAAAAATAATAATAAACACTTAATATGCAAAATTCGTCTGACATACACATATTAAAGAAATTAGGTGAAAACAAGTTTACTTTACCACAAAGGTATAATTTAAACATGTATATTATAGATCAGAAATATGACAAAAGAAGTTACTGTTTTTAGTGTTTAGCCCAATTTTTGTGATAAACTTATTAAATAGTTCAAATTTACCGCTTGTTTGTTTTCATATCATATGCGCGCTGGGCTTTCCTCTTCTGATTATCTTACCAAATCTCACCGTCCCAGCCGTAGACTAGTGAAGCTTCCCTGGCGTAACCAGAGGCGAGAAGGAGTGAGCAGTTGGAACTACCCTTCAACAACACCACAGGTCTTACCGTTCCTTTCTAGCACTTTTTCCTTTGTTTTTTTTTAAAACTCTCAGATTTAAATGAAATTCCTTGCCCAACCATCCTCCAATCTTTCCACGTAAGAGCTTCTCCGTTGCCTTCGCTGTCTATGTTTCAGGTGGATGCCCCGATTCCAGGCAAAACGTATCCCTGACTTATCACAGAAGCTTGTAAATGGCACATCAAGGACAAGATATATCAAACCAGCTCTAGTAAAATCTACAATTCACTCTTACGGCGGCGCCACACTCCCAGATTTGTACGAAAGTTTCACAATACAGAACAAAGCGCCTCAATGGAGTAACCATTATCACCGGGTTCATTGATAATAGGCTGCATACACGAGAAATTGCGCTGAAGTGGAAAAACTTAATCAATTTAATTACAAATAAATTTCAGCCCGAAACTCTAATCATCCCCAAAATAATTCAAAGCTCCATAACGATGTTAATTGCAAACTCTACATTCAAAACCATGTGCTGTTTAGTTTGATTGATAAGATATTTCATCCACACACACTCATGGTTTCGCCCAATCTAAATCTAAAACTAACCCCTCAAATAATTTGCCGAGACGGCATCCACTTCTCTTTCTTCAGTAATGAATTCTTTACAACTGTTCTTGCTTGTATTTTTTCTGACTTCTCTTGACGATCTGACGTTACCGTTCCTCCTGATATAATGTCTGATCAAACACATTGTCTCTTATGTAACAACCACTTTCGCGGCCGTGGATACTGGTGCTCAAAATCTACAAATCGCTCTTACCGCAGCGCCACACTCCAAGAGCCGTGTATCTAGACGCAAGAAAAAGTGAGCAAATGGAATTGCCCTGCAATAACACCACAGGTTGTACCGTTCCTACCTTGCACTTTTTCCTTTGTTTTTTTTTGAAACTCTCAGATTTAAATTAAATTCTTTGCCCAACCATCACCCCCATCTTTCCACTTAAGAGCTTCTCCGTTGCCTTCGCTGTCTGTGTTTTAGGTGGATGCCCCGATTCCAGGCAAGGCGCATCTGTGAGTTCTCACAAAAGCTTGTAATTGGCACATATCAAAACAACTATAGTAAAATCTACAATTCACTCTTATCGCGGAGCCACAATCCAAGATCTGAACAAAAATTTTACAATACAGAACAAAGCGCCTCAATGCAGTAACCATTATCACCGGGTTTAATGACAATAGGCTGCATCCACAAGAAATTGCGCTGAATTGGAAAAATTTAATCAACTAAATTACAAATAAGGTTCAGCCCGAAACTCTAATCATCCTCAAAATATTCCAAAGCTCCAATAAAAACGATGTTAATTGCAAACTCTACAATCATAACCATGTAATGATTAACTTGATTAATAAAATTATTCATCAACACACACTCATTGTTTCTCCCAATCTTAATCTAAATCTAACCCCTCAAATGTTCTGCCGAGACGGCATCCACTTCTCGCGACCTTTACAGAGGCAGCGACCACGATGAAAATTTCAGCTGCTTTCGCTGCACCTCTCTGACTACAGACAACACTACAACTGACATCCAAGTCCCTCTAACCCTAATGAGCACCGGAAAATTATCGAGTGCTATTGCTAAGATAATTGTTAACTCCGAAGGATTTCTCTCAAGCAAGGAAACCGTCAAAGGTCAAACTGTTGAGCAAATCTTCATTGAGAAACACCCTCCCGCGGAGCCAATAAAAAACAACTATATAACATCATGCTCTGAAGATACAATCCCTTTCCACTCATCCACGTCCGACCAAAAAATGTCCAGAAAATTAGGAAGGCTGCCATGACAACACATGGTTTTCATAGACCCTCAGGCCTGGATGCAAATGAGTGGAGACGCATACTAACGCACTTTGGTCAACAGTCAGTTCAAATATCAAAGACACTAGCCAAAATTGCACAAAAAATATCGACAGAAATACTGAGTCCTGAGCTGCTCGAATCATACAATACCTGTCGACTAATTCCACTTGATAAAAACCCCAGGAGTTTGGCCATTTGGCATAGGCGAAATCATCCGCAGAATAATAGGTAGAACGATAACAAAGTGCTTAAATAGCGAACATATGGTACTTGTATCGTATTATCAACTATGCCTTGGCCAAAAATGTGGCATCGAAAATGGAATTCATACGCTTAGGAAGCAATACGAGAAAACAGATTCCAATGCAATATTACTGATAGACGCCAAAAATGCATTTAACTCCCTAAACTGGAACCTGGCTTTGAAAAACATTGCAATTGTATGCCTTTCTTTAGTACCCGCTATACAGAAATCATACTCTAATCCATCAAACTCTTCGTAAATAAAAAGTTATCCTATCTAGAGAAGGAACCACACAAGGAGACCCATTATTAGCAATGGCGATGTACGGGCTAGCTTTTCATCTTTAATAAAACTACGCAACGATAACAGCTGAACTCAGAAATGGTATGCAGACAATGGGAGCGCGGTCGGAGGTTTGAAAAGCTTGGGAACAGTTCTTGACAATATTATCAAACACGGAAAAAAGTTTGGATATCATGTAAAAGCATCGAAACGCCAGCTCATTGTAAGAGATGAAAAATTTAAAAAGGCGTTCAAATTGTTCAAAAATACCAAAACTGAAATGAAGAAAGGGGCCAAAGTGCTTGGTTCTGTCATAGGATACGAGGTTGAATGTAAAACTTACTAAGAAATTGAGTTAGTAGAACATAACAAAATACTGAAAAAAGTTTGCATGATCGCGAAAACATCACCACAAAAAGTGTACTCCTGTTACACCAAAGAGGTACAATAAAAATTATCGTGTTTTAGCTAGAACTACTCGCAATACCACAGAAAACATGCAGGCCTGCGCGAAGCTACTGCAGGAAAAGTTCATTCCAAATTTAATTGGTAAAGATAATATCAGCCATCAACTTAGAGACATCAATTTTTGCCACTGAAAATGAGTGGTCTAAATATCAAGCTACCTTCTGACTGCGAGAAGTTTTTAGAATCGCCAATTAAAACATCGTCAGTCTTAGAAACACACGACCCATTAACAGCTATATCTGAGCAAAAAAAAATCTTTGCGAAAAACAAAACACTTAAAACGGAAAAAAACCTAAAATACGCGCTTGAGCTAGACTCCAAAAATGGAGCCTCAAACTGGTTAAACACACTGCCTTTAAGTAGATATAATTTCAACCTAAATATATCCGAATTGAGGGAAGTTATTTTTCTCAGATATGAATGGGAACGAACCATTATTCCACTTACATGAAGTATGACGTAATCAAAGCTACCTTTGCCAACCTCATGGGCGAGGTTTGCTATGATGTTGAAACTGAGCCGAAACTTCAGTCGTTGCAAGGCGAGAGCTTTGTCAACAATTCAACCACAAGTGATAAAGACCCTTGACTAGATGTAGAAGCAAACGGATTATGGGGCTCAAGGTTTAACCGATTCTTCTTTGATGTCAATGTCTTCAACTCACACGCGCAAAAAGCAAAAGTTTCACGAAGACTACTGAAAGACGCCTAAAAGTACCACGAATCACTAAAAAATTCAAAATAATAACAGAGAGTTTTGGCACCTTCCGTCGCAGCAGGAAAAAGACATTAGAGGTCTTAGTGATCATGTATTGTTGAAAAGGAGGCTAGGATATCCTAGATTTTTTATTTTCGAAAATTCGATTGCAGACAGTCTATTTCTGAGAAATACGAAAAATGGCCATTTTTGTTTGAAAAGTCCCAAAAAACACAACAACAACCGATTTAGTGAGAGACAGACGTTCGTGAATATAGAAAAAAAATGAAGCCTCTTATCGTGACGATCACGCACGACAAGACACTTAACGGAGGTAATTAGCCAGAAAGGAGGCTTCAGTGGGGAAGAAGGAAGAAGCAGTACCCTCCCGTGCCACGAATTGGTAGTAATAACGACGTTATTACAGAAAAAGCAGGGAATCGGAGGCTCGGCCCCAAGAGTCATCATATGGTGAAAGACTGTAATAAACACACTTTTTAGCTACTCTGATGTCATAAACATTTGAAATAACACCGGTATTATTGGTTGCTTTAGAACATGAGTAGCTAGAAAGAGGAAAGGATCTATCCATTTTTCTCCATTTTTAATATAGAACGGTAACCAAAAACAAGGTAAAATAGGATATTCGAGCCGTGTTTTTAATAGCAATCAAGTAGTCTGGGGTTCCGAGACCCAGCTATGTGGTTGTCTTCGCATGTAAAAGGAACCTGATTAAAAGTCGTTTGACTGATGTCTTGAAAACATTATCCTTTTACTTAGCCTAAACAGATCAGAAAATCAACTGGCTAGGTCGAGGCAGTGAAAAACGAGTAGAATTTAGGTATCTGACGTCGGCCAGTCGTCCATTCGTACTTTTTCTACGCTCCATCACTGTGTAGTTTTTGGGCAAATGTTACACCCAGTCGAACAGAGCATCTTCTGCCTGCTGATTGTTAGCTGCACTGCTGGTGCCGCACAAGCAGCTACACGAACATTGCAGCGCATAGCTGAAAAACTTAGTTAAAAAAGGTATGAAAGCTACTCAGAAACAAAAAACGAATTAAGAATTAAGAAAAGCATCGTGCTGCTCAGGATCGCTATCCTTTGTATACGGGGATGCAGATCACTTCGTAAAACTCAAATCATAGACACTTCATTTAATAATATTAAAGAGGAGGGACGATTGAAGTAAATACCTCTAATGACAATGCATTGAATACTGACTCGGTTTAATTCCTGCAAAATTGTTTACTGATGTGTTTATATAAAGCTGCTATGAGCTCTATCCAGCTTGTGCACGACCGTGCCTAAACGGA